AGTCCTCCAAGTGATAGTGGACGGCCTCGCAGAGATCGAGGTCGTCGCTGTGGTCGCCCTCAGATGACAGTGGGGCAACAGCGTCCTGCTCACCATAATCCAGCGTGTTGAAGCGGCGCGAGAAGTGGCGGCCCTGCTGCGCGGAACGGTGGGGGGGACCGCGGAAAGGGGAACGGCGTTGGGAAGTGCCGTGAGAGGAGGAGGGGGCATAGCCTGTGCGCTGGGGCTGGGAGGAGGAGGCGGGGTGAAGACGAGCTCGCATCTGCTGGTGGTCCCTAGCGGCCTCGTAAGCCTGTGGGGCCGATGTGAACTCGTACCGCCATAGCTCGAAGCGGTACTCGAGCGGAAGGCTGGCCAAGAAACGATCGATAAGGGCAGCCTTGGGGAGGAACGCCACGTCGCAAACGAGGCGGGCATCCTGAAAGACCTGGATGTGGCGATCCAGGCCGGCAGCGCCACCAGAGCCAGACCAGCGTGTAGTGACGACACGCTCGAAGGCGTCAGTCACGTCGTATCGGGCTCCGAAGCGATCCTCGAGGAACGCCTGGAAATCCATGAAGGTCGGAGTCCGACCCTCACGAAGGGAGTAGGCATAGAAATCCTCCCAGGCCTCGAAAGGACCGCCACGCAGGCGCGTTGAGAGGTGACCCACCCACGTCTCGGGTGTGGCGCCCATGAGCTGGAGTGTGCGGGTGGCCGACTGCAGCCACCGAGACACGCGTATGCCTGTACCGTCATACAAGGCAATGTCCGACAAGCGGGCGGTGGCGGCGAGGGGATCGAGAAGCGGGGGCCTGTGCCACGGTTGAGTGAGTCAGCGCAGGTCCTGGAGAAAGGGGCGCAGCTGACTGTGCGCCCGGGCCGCATAAGGGAGCGGCGGTGGCAACAGCGGCAGGCTCCGAGGGTGCTGCGGTAGAAGAGGTCGCAGCAACTGCGGGAGTAGGAAGGAGGTAGGAAGGAGTTGTATAGGGTGCAGGGCGTGGAAAGCGAGCCTGCATGGGAGGAAGGGTAGAGGACGTAGGGGGTGCGCCCGAAGACGCGGCCACCTGTGAGGGTGGGGGTGGTTGAAGGCGTAAGAGGGCGAGGTTGGCCCGGAGCTGGGCAATCTCGTCCTCGAGACCTCGAACGTAGGTCGTGCGAGGGGTAGCAGGAGGAAGAGTGGAGGAAGTAGATGCACAAGCGGCGCGGGGCATCCCAGAGGGAGGAGAGCCAGGTGGCGCTGCGGTCGTGCGAAGAGGGGGGAGGAGCGGGGCACCCGGAAACGCTGAAACCATGGTAACGGGTTGTGGTCCCGTGGCCGTCGTAACCGGAATTTGGGCCGGTGCACCCGTAGACTGAGGAAGGGCCTGACTCGTGGCGGTCGTCGAGCTAGGGGCGTGGACGGTCACCAAAATGGCCGGGTCGGGGGCGGCAGAGGAGGAAACTCCGCCGTGGCCACCCTGTCGGAGAGCTGGGGACCCGGACTGAGAGCCAGGAGAAGAGAGAGGATGAGGAGAGGAAGGACGACCAGCGTCTTGGAGTTGCTGCACGCCGGCGGCAAGGGTCGCCACCTGCGCCTGGAGGGGCCCGAGGGTTGCGAGTTGCGCCTGGATGGGCGCGAGGAGGGAGGTGAGGAGGTTGTGTAGATCCCCCTGGGGCTGATGGCCCTGGTCCGCCGGCACGGGTGTGGAGCCCGATGCCGTGGTCATCGCCGTGTCGACGGCGTGTGACGCACCGTCGGCCATGGGGAGATGATGGACCGGACTGGAGGGGGCCAGAAGAGGTCCGCGTGAGCGGAGGGCGTAGGGGGAAGTCCACGGTAGAAAGCGGCGAACGGCGCTAGCAAGGCTAGCACGGGCG